GAAATGCTTGCTTCTGTCTGTCACATACTGTTGCACATCTTCATTATACCCTTTCTAGGTAGGTTAGGGTATAGGAACAACAAGTAGATATTTGTGTGTGTCTTTTTAATTGCCAGAATATTTCATTTCATTTCGCATATTTGCACACACATCCAATTTTGATGCACATTTGTTTTCAACATTTCACATTTCACAACGGGCATTTATTTTTGTAGTCTTCTCGTTTTGTGTGTGGTTTTCATTTTAATAGTCCCACAAATAAAATAAATAAACACAAATTAAATATATAAATCCCTAGTTATTCGTCTAACAAATAACTAATTCAATTCTCATTTATGCCAGCATGTGTATCACTCTCCTCATTTTAACTCCATCTGGCTTGCCTAATCTGGTGAGCCCTAATCCTCTTTTCTATTATGAAAATTATGTAATAACTTATATCATAATTGATATCAACTAACTGACAACTAACGTTAAATGTTGAAATATTTGACTGCAGATTTTGAATTCTTTTAAGAGATGCCAAAATTATAATGAGAAGATTTGTATCTACAAAAATTTTAATGAAACAATGAATGAGCAAAGAACATTAGAAAAGTTTGAAAAGACTTTCCTTAAATGTTGATTAGAAAACAACATAAAATTTGATGCCAATAGAAAATTGCTTACAATTTTAATGCTAAGTTTGAAGATAAAAGAGATCTTGAAATGTTTATGCTGTATTCAAAACAAAAACCAATTTATGACAGCTGAGATACATTTAGCTCGTATAAATCTCTTTAACTTATGAATGGCTTACGAGTGTATTCAATCAACGGCACGCACAAATGATAGCTGCACTCGCTTGTTATCCATACGAATTGGAATTTAATGAAATTATGTAGATGATTAGTTGTGAGCGGGTAAAGTGCTAATATATTATTTTATCATGCCTGTAAATAGTTGTCACATGACGACTTCAAATATTAATCAAATAAACAGAAATCACCCTCGAGACAGAGGCAGAGCTGTCTAACTGAATGTGAATATCAGTTGCGAGCTGCTGACAAATTTGCAACAACGGCATACCATAAATATGGCATATCTGTATACACAAATATGTAGAAATATGTAGAAATATGTAGAAAGGTGCCGATTATGTATTTGTCAATCTCTGACGTCAAATGTCTAGAGCTTGGACTCGAATCCAATCCGGGGGGGTTTTGCCCACGCGTCGACGTCGTCCAAGTTGCCGTGGGAAAAACTCGTTTTTTTGGGTCGCAATATGAGTCGGATGCGGATTTCAGTGGCCCGCTGCGACGGCGCATTGCGTGGGCCCCTGACTCACCCGTTCCAGTTCTACACTAGAAAAAGACTTTACAAACACACACTATATAGTGTGTACATATATATATATATACATAAAGTTGTATGTGAATAGTTGTATGTGATTACGGCCCTGACTTGGGTTCCGTTTCACTTTTCATAAATATGTGTGTGTTTGTTTGTTTTTTTCTTCTTTTTTTTTCATTTTTCGATTGCTTTTTGCCAATTTGCAGCGTTGTTTTTGTTGTTGTTGTTGTTGTTTGTTTGCCGCTTGGCCTCCGAGTATTTCAATTATGCAGTTTAGTGTCGTTTCACACGTAGATACGCAGCAGATATGCAGCAGATACAACAATTGTATCTGCATCTTTCGCTTGGCATTTGCTGTTTGCTTTGTTTGCTTGTTAGCCACTTGGTTTGTTTATCTCTCCCTCTCTCTCTGTCTCTCTCTCTCTCTCTCTCTCTATCCTCACCTCTCGCTCCCTCTCTCTCTCTCTCTCTGTCTGTCTCTCTGTCTCTTAAGCGTCTTGCGCTTACTTTTGTTTTAGTCGCGCGCACGAAATTTTTACTATCGATGAATGAATAGTGTTGCAGATAGGTGTGTGGGGCAGGTAGGGGTAGAGGCTGAGGTAGAAGTGCTATCTGCGATAAGCGATGAGTGTGCGGAGTTCCCTTGACGCAAGGTGTTAGTGCTGATGTTGTCGTTGTTGTTGCCGTTGGTTCTTGTTGTTGTTGATTCATGTGATTCATAGTATGGCATTTCTCAGCTCGCAGTTTTGCATTTGCAAATTGCGCTGGTTAGGCATTCCTTCCTCGCTGTCGTAATGTTTTATTTCACGTGGAAACAACAGCGTCGTGTTTGCATGTGTATCTATTGGATACACTTTTACCCACATTTATTTTCAGTGCACTTCCGCCGGCTGCCAAGTCCTCAGCCTAAGAAAATAAAAAATGCTTACCTTGCCAGTTAGCGTTTGGGGTTTTTAATTCTGCTGTTGCTGTTGGGTTCATTTTTGGCATAAACATTTCCTAAACTTTTATCTAATTCAACAAACTGCAGCAATAACTACGGCAACAATAATAAAAGCAGCAACGAAAACAACAACCTTTTCAAGCATTTCGAAAGATTCCCAAGACATTTCCACATTTTCCACTGCCATTGTTTTTGCTGCTGCTGCTGCTGCTGCTGCTTCTTCTTCGCGCTTTTGTTTTTTTCCATTTCGCATTTTCAACGTGCTTCAACTTGTTAGGCATGCAACTTTTCACATCGTTTCTCCTCTTTATATATAGATATACGTACAACATTTATACACATATTTTTTGTGCCCCTTCTCGTTTTTTTGGCTTTGATTTGGCTTAGTGCAACTCGACTTTGTTTTTGTTTTGGGGAGACTTGAAGGCGACTTCATCTACTTCTTCTTCTTCTTCTTGCTATCTTATGCGAGCAAAGAGTCTGGAAAATTTATGAAATTTGTGCGGCATAAAGTGCACTAATTTATTAGCGCTTGACGACTCTAAAGCGAACTGCAATATTGCAACGAAGCAGCGCAGTTCCAAGCGGAGGGGCACGAGGAATGTGTCTGTGTTTTTTCAGTTGGCTGATAAGAAAGGTTAAAGTTGAGTAATGTATCCTAAAGTGTTTAACTATGCAAATTAGCTGGCAAGACTTGACTTATTCATAGTCACACGTGTGCTTGCCACATGCATCACGCTTTCAATTCGACTTCATTATTTGAATCAACGCTTTAACTTTAAGCACACAAAATAACCCAATTTAAAAATTCAGGTCTTTGTGTAGCGTTTTTTGGGCAAACATTTTCAGTTCTAGTTTCCTCGGTTCTTTTTCTTTTCACACCTCAATGTAGCAACAACAAAAAAAAGTGAAGAGAAAAGCCCAATAAAAAAAAGAAAAAAAATAACAAACTTGACATAATTACAAAAAAATATTTACTTAAATAAAAATAAAATGCAGTGCGTACAATTTTTTAAAAAGTAGCAAACGCAATAATTTTTAATGGTTTTTTATCGTTTTGGTTGCTGTTGTTCTCGTATTCGACAACAAAAGCAGCTGAGGCCGCTCAGAGATTAACACCCCTCGATCGGCCCCTACCCATTCCCCGTATCCCTCTTGAGTCGTCGCCCCCTTTTGCGGTAGGCCGTGGAAATTCAAGGCAGCCCGTCGATCATCGTCGTCGCGTGGCGTCTCCGTCTCCATCTATTCATCTCTCTCTCTCTATCTTTCCCAGTGGGTGCTCCTCTGTCTTAGTCTCAGTCTGTGTGTCTGCTGCTCTGATGTCATGGGTGCTTATAAGCATGATATATGGATTTGTAGTTGTTTCGTTTTCTGTTTATGTTTATGTTTCCAGCTGCCGTCGCACGCAAAAATTTGCATGCACTTTTAGCAGTCAGTTCAAGACGGCAACAACAACAAAAATCTGGGCGCTGGCCACGCCCACGCAACACCAAGGTAGTAAACCTTGCGAATGAATGAATTGAACATTATATATATAAATATATATATATATATTTATACAAATACTAACAATAACAACAGCATTGAAACTCTCATATTTAATGAAACACGTAAAACGGCAGCGAGTAAATAAAATAGTTTAATCAATGAATAAATAAATCAATAAACACAAAAATGTAAACAAATTAAACAGTAAAACAAAAGCACCATAAAAAGGAAAAAAAAAACAAATAAATAGAAAACATATAAATTTAGTTGAATACATTTTTTTAATTATGACTGGGCAGGAATTAATAAAGAAATCAGCAACAGGGAGAAGTTAAGCATTTAGGCATTATAATAATATTACAATCCCCTATTAAGACAGATATATATATATAAAATTCTAAGTTGAGTTAAAATAAGTACTTTTCAGAAAGTCTAATATAGTTATTCCAAATATCTTGGGTTTCTATTTAAGGCCAAACAACTTGGACTCTACTATAACAAGGTAATCTTTCCACTTTCAATTCACTGCGTCGACTGTGAATGATTATGGCTTGTGCAGCTCGGCCAATGATCTTGTCTAGCTGCGATTTTATCTGCGAGCGCTCATGCAACGTTTTTGGTTGCGGTTGCGTGCGGCAACCCACACAAACCATTCAACAAATTCATGAAATTGGTATTCAAAGCGCCCATTCAGAGGCTGCCTCGTCGCCAGTCCTTCCTACACATTATCGATATTGTGGGGCCAACAGCTTTTTGAGCAACTCAAATTTAGGCTGAGCCAACGAGTTGAATGAATCAAAACAATAGAAATCAAATGCCAATCGATGGCACAAGTTGGCAAAGTAGCACTTAACCAACACCACATTTAACAAACGACATACGAAACTATTTCATCTGCAGCGAAATTTAGAACCACCCACATTCAGTATAATAAAATTAATCTTTAAATACAACACGAGCTGCGATCTGAATTTATTTCAATTTGGATCGACTTCCATGCATACAAACTTTCATTCATTAAAACAACACACATTTTGGCAGCAAGCAAAAAAGAAAGAAAAAAAACAAATCTAAACAAACCAAAAAGATCCCACACGTTGCGTATACGCAATGTTTGGTAGAACACATTAGCGCAATTGCAGTTAGAGCTGGGAGCTCATTTTGCATCTCGCAGATACATTTTGGGAAACTTTAAGCTACAGTTAGATTTGTGTGTTTGCCTTTTTTCTACACTCACCAATGAGGATTGACAAGTTTGTGCTCTACTTCTGCTGGCAGCTTGCAGTTTATGGCCACGTTTCCACTGCTCAATGTTTTTGGTATCTTGTATCTTGCGGATACACATTCATTGCCTGCAGCCAGTCATTTAGCACTTGCAACACATCCGTTTTATTTTTTGTGTGTTTGCGTGGCACAACCCTTGGGCATTCACCGTTAGTCGCTAGCCCGTTAGCCGTTAGCCGCTTTTGCCCGTTTTTTACCGTTAGCTGTTAGCCGCTGTTGCCCGTTGCAAAGCGCCGTTCACTACTGAGCTCGTTTTTTATGCGCTCCGATACTTTTATAGATTCGCAATGTGCCTCGAGGCCGGCCTCCAGACACAAACGGGTGGGGTTGTGGGTGTGGGGAGGGATGGTAGTGGAGGGTGGGAGGGAACTGTTAGCAAAGGTAGCCAAGGGTAGCGTTTCGTTCGCTAGTTTCATTTGTTTGTTTGTTGCTGTTTTTGTTGCTGTTGCTTTGCACCCCTTTTTTATTTAGCCGGCCGGCCAGCAAACAAAACAGCAACAACAACCACCCAAAAGTCCAAACAGACGCCTGCCCCTGCCACAGCCCCTTAACCTATCGCCGCTGGTCGTAAGTTATCCACCTGCTGACGAACTTGTTCGAAGAGGTTCGAAGCTTTCAGTGTTGTTTTGGCTAAACGGTAAATGCAGCAGAGAGAGCGAAAGACCGAGAGGGAGAGAGGGAGAGAAAGAGAAAGAAAGAGAGCGCGTCGTTTGGGAGCCGGTTTTTGTTGGCAGGTGCATTGGTGTCCAGCTTTTTGTGGACAGCTGAGCTGATGAACAGCAGCAGCAGCTGAAGCAGCAGCCGACGCTGCCTGACAATTAACGAGTCTCATTACTCAGAGGCGTGCAGCTGACGCCTGCCTGCCACATAATTCCCCTTGTCCCCCTGCCACCTGGCACCACCCCGCAGCTGTTTAATGTCTGCCAGTGGCAGAGTCGGTGGCATGCATATTGGGGTCAAGCAGCTTGCCACTCACTTAAAGATTAATAACAATAATCAGCATCAGAAGCATCATCATCGTGAGATTTAAAAATGGAAAACAGCAAAGTGAAAAACAGAAAGAAAACTCTAGTTGACGGCTGACGAGTGTCGCTTTCCCAGGATTGTTCGTAGCTATGTGGCAGGCAGCAGCAGCAACAGCAGCAGGCAGCAACATCAGAAATTAGCCAAGCGCCACCATGAAATGTGTACTTAATTGAATTAATCAAGCAATTATGCGGTTTTGCATTCAAATCGGATACTCTTACCCCTAACCAGCATCAGCAACAGCAACAGCAGTAGCATCATCAGCTAACAGCTAATAAAGAGCAACCCCTCAACGGGCACTCATCACCCTTCCCTCCCCGACCCTACTTGCCACGTACGGCCACTCGAAAATCATGTTAAATCAAAACTATTGAAAACGTTTTTGCAACAACAACAGCTATTTTTGCTGCTTGTGCCTCCTTTGACCCCTCCCCCTCTTTCTAACGTTGCCCTCATCAGCTGTCAGCGGAGAGAACGTCATTTGTGATAATGTTCACATCGTTGATTTTGTTGTCGATTTTCATGTGGCAAACGCCGTGAGTCAGTCAACATATCAAATTATATTCGATATGTTAACATCGATTTTCAGCTGATAACCCACATTTCAGTTTGTGAGTAGATACCTTTTGTGGCAGCCCAAAAGCCCAGACAAGGTCAATGAACAAAACCCGATAGGAAATAAAGATGAGCTACAGATAAAGATATTGATATATTTATTTATTTAGGTATAGATATATTATATGATGTACCCATTTGCATAAATGAGGATCACATTTCACTACTGATTTAGAAAATACATATTTAAATTTCTCAATTCTCAAATCTCAAACTTAACCCAGGAAAGTTGTGGTCATAAAAATTGGTATTTAATAACAACTAAATATTAAAGCTGTATAATTATAACGTAGTTTTCAATCCAAGTGATTCATAAACTTAAAAAAAAACCGATGATAATCAAGTAGTTAATCGTTATGACTTTTAAAAACCAACTGAATATTTAACCTAATCATATTTATTTCGAAATGCCATTTTTTCTAACTTTACTCGAAACAGTTACTAATTTGTTCTTACAATTATTTTTTAACAAAATGCCCTTTTCACTGACTCCTCTCTAGTTTTTCCCACATTCATGCTATTATTTATTATGTTTAATAATAAATTGAATATTAAACCTCTGCTTATTTATAAGGAAAGCAGCTGTTAATGAATTCGGTCCATCAAGGTGTCATTAGCTTTCCATTTGCTGAGAGATTTTGCGTTATATTCACTCACAATGCATCCGTAAACAGTTGCTCATAAAAGTACGCAGTCAGTCAAAGGCAATTATCAAATTTTTCCGTTGTGCTTTTGTTTTTGGTACACTTACTTTTTTAATTGACGTCGCAGCAAAAGAAATCGAAAAACCAAAAAAAAATATAATACAATATAAAACAAGATGAAAACCAAAGAAAAAAACAGCACAAAGAATTGGGAGGGGGATGAAAGGGAGAGTGGGGCAGGGGGAGGGTGTTGTGTAGGCGATTTGACGCACAAAATCGCACATAAAAAAAGCGAAAACCAATAAAAAGTGATTACGTGCCGGCAACACAGACGGATTAGAGGGTTGCGGGGTAAGGGGAGGTTGCATGGGGCAGCATTAGTCTGATGCTTGCAAATCAAAACAGATGTGCGACAAACTGGCAACACAACAACAAACTGCCAGCCAAAAAGCAACGGCAAAAGTTTGCCACAAATAAAAGATAAAAGATACAAGATACAGGAGACGAGAAATGAGATACAAGCTGCCAGATACATTTCTGGTTGTTGTTATTCTGTTTTTTGTTGTTGTTATTGTTGTGTTGCTCGTGCCACACGGCCAGCAGACGGCACAAAAAGTAACTGTGCCACACAGCCGCATATCCTGCAGGAAAGCAATAACACAGCAGCAGCGTCCAACGGGAATTGCGCAAGGATTTCAGCAAAACTGGTTGCAGGTTTGGTTGCTGTGCTGCTTGCAACTTGGCCAAGAAGTGCGTCGCTCACCTGCCACAAGTCGACTTAGGCTGAGCTACTGCTGCTGCCCCTGCCACATGCCGCCTGACTCAAATTACGCTTCCTTTTCTTTCCGGGCGCAGGAGCCAGGCACAGCATTGTCCAGGACAGTTTACCCACAGTGTTCCCCCGATAAATACAATTTGCACACAATCTAAATTTTACAAACTTTAATTTAATTTGATTTACTATATAATTTCATCAATTTAATTATAAATATATATCTTATATATAATAATGGTAATTTAATACTGTATTTATTCCTTTGTGTAGAAAAGACTAAAATATATTGAACTAAAAATGTATTTTAAATAAACAACTTCAAAAAGAAATCGTCTCTGTTTGCGAGTCATGACTGTATAATCATTATGATGCCCTTGCCACAACACTGTCTGCTTCCGCTCAGAGCGACAGAAAATAAGAGAGAGCGAGAAAGAGAGAGAGAGAGAGAGCGAGAGAGAGAGAGAGGGGAATAGTGTAACTTGCTGCCGCAGGATAACACAGCTGCAAAAATTGTGTTGCCGCAGTCGAATATGCAAGTCGATTCCTGCAACTACAACTTCAACTCCAAATGAACTCAACTCAATTCAGCTCAGTTCGCTGCCTGCGTTTTTAACTGAGCGCCGCACGTGGGGCATACAAAGCAGCGACGTCGACTGAGGCAGCGTCAAGGAAAAACGGAAAGTGTTCGTTGTAGTTGTAATTTTATTGAGAAATTCACAGACAGACAATGGTGGAGGTGGGGAGGGTGTGTGGTTGGTCAAGGAAACAGCTCAAAGGCCGAAGACGCGGCACAAGCCACAAACGTCGCTTGCTGGTTATCTGGCTGGTTGGCTTGTTCGCAGGGAATGCGACGACGCCTGTCGCATAACAATGCGTTTCTCCTTTGGCCGAATGTAAGTGCAAGATACGCCCAGGCATCTGCTGCAAGGCACAGTGGGATGCCAAGCACGAAGCTTGCAACAGTTTCAGGCTACAAATTAGCAAAGTAAAAAAAAAAATAATAAAAAAAAAAATCAACACTCTCTGCTGCTGCTGCCCATCTGTTCGAACATGTTCGTTGGCGCTCTTATACAAACAGCTGTTTGCAACGCGAACGTGTTGCGTATAAGAGAGCGTCCATCACATGTAGAAGAGCGTGCGCGCAAACAAGTTGCGTAGAAGAGAAGGCGAGAGCAATATTTTGGTTTGATTGAATTTCGTGATCGCACTCAATTTGAACATCTATAAACATAAACATAAAAGGGTATAAAGAGTGGCACCTTACTTATATATACCCTTTTCGCATAAAACTCAATTAGGACTCCCTCCCCCTCTCTCTCCCTCTCTGTCTGACTGACTGCTTGCGGCTTGTGTTCATCAAATCTAATACAAACGAAATCCATTAAAGTTCATATTTCAAAGCCAAAGCCTCCCAGAGTCAATTTGCAAGCGACACACAATCGCCCAGGCACATAAACACACACGCACACACACACATCGAGAGCGAGAGAGAGACAATTGTATTTCACAGTTGGTCAAAGCCTTTCAAAAATATTTGCATAAGATTCAAACTAAACTCTTCCCGCCTCCCCTCTCCCCTTTCCTTGCCACATCTAACCAAATTGCAACAGAATGGTAGCAGACAAAGTTTTCGGACAAGTTTTGCGTTCCAAGTGCAGTTCATATTTGAGTTGAGCTCAGTGCCACTCCCACTCTCCCCCCTTCCGCGTTCTCCTCTGATGAGTAACCCTTTAGCCTAATTGTATGAAAATACTTGGTCCTTTGGTTTTAGTTCCGCTGCCAAATGTGAATTTAAGCCTTGCAGCACAAGTGCGCCACAGAATTTTGGGACGTCGCTTTCTCTGTCTCTTGTTGTTCTGCTGCTCGAGCAGCACCTGAACATCAGCAATCAGCTTGAGTTATTGGCCGGACAAACAGTCGGCGGTCCAAGGTGTCGACCTGGGGGCACGTTGTGTGCGGCAAGTGCAGCGAAGCGTTTGACGTGGCCAGCAGCCTTGGCCCAGTCAATGCGAGAAATTAACACAAATATGTTAAGCATTCGAAAGTTTGGAAAGCTGCAGCTGCCGAGTCCAATTTGGCAACTACTACTTATCTATAAGAAAAAAAATCAACTTTTAATGATTC